CAACTAAAATGCTTTTTTTTTTTTTAACATAATGGTGATAATCAAGGGATGACTAATTAGACTAGCAGTGCTGGCTACCACTGTATTTACACTGAATAATATTACATTGTTCATTTAAAGATGTTAACCTTGCCAAGACACCACTGATTTGATTGAACGCCAATAAGCAGACCCTGGATATAGAGACTTTTGTATCTTTTCATGACGAACCCCCAAGACACATGACTTGCAGGTAATCAGGAAGTATGAATGATTTTTGCATTAACACTGGGAGGGGGAAGGAGACGTTGTTCAGTCCAAATAAATAAAACAAAAAAAAACTAGTCTGCTTCCTGTAATCCTACCTTGCGTAGATGTTGCATGCTGGCTCTGGATCTTTTCAGGGCAAAACTAGAAAGTGATCGCTGTAGGGTGCAATGTTACTTCCTTTTATGGCTACATGCTGGACATACTCTTCTTACAAAAAATGCTGTATATTCAACCTCCAGTTCTGAGTGTTGCTACTATACTTTGGTGCTATTGAGTGGGATTTATAAAATATATATTAACTTGGGAATAAACATGTATATATACTTACTGAATTAAATCTCAACATATATGAAAATTTTATTGTTTTATATTATTTATAGATTATTACCTCCACAACTAGAGAATGTGTTTTCGGTAGAAATGTTTTGTTGATTTGCCTGTTAGTAGGATAACTGGAAAAGTTATAGATGTTTTTTTAATTTTTCAGGAGAGTCGCCCTTGACAATAACGAACCCATTATAGATATGGGTTGGGTTACCAGCAATTCGATTTTTTATAAGTCAAACAATTACGGGCAAAGTTTCATGACATTTGCAGGAGAGAGTTATCTTTGACACAAAGACCAGCCCATTAAATGTGGAGAGATGTAGACCCAGTTACCATGGATACAGTAATATCTTTTTTTATTTATAACTCAGATGATAAATTGATAAATCCTAATTACATTTTCAGGAGGTGATATTCAACAATAGAATACATTTTGGTAGAGATATGGTTCTGGTTGCCATGAAATCAGCAAAACTTGTAGATGGATTATTTGGTAGAGATTCAGATACGGGTTATAAGGAAACAATTTCGAGAATATAATTGATAACTGAGAAATCCTGGACGGATTTTCATGAAATTTGTGTTTGATTTCCGTATCATTGTTATGCAATTTATAAGAAAACCATTGCAACAGCTAGTGAGTACTGTAGGTAGATAGCAAAGAGATAATTTTGCATTGGCCGCCTTGTGAATTTTAGCAATAACGTCGAGGGAATGTTTGATCGCATGATCCAGGATTTCGTATAAATCCTTGATTGAAAGCGAACACAGGCAAGATCGACTTCTGATCGAGCATAGCAAGTAATGTCAAGTTCACAGCAGTAAACAGACAACTGTAAATAACTTGTAGTGAATGCGCTCGTATAATAACTAGCATTATGCACTACTGTATTTACACTGAATAATATTACATTGTTCATTTAAAGATGCTTACCTTGCCAAGACACCACTGATTTGAATGAAGCAGACCCTAGATATAGAGACTGTTGTATCTTTTCATGACGAACCCCCAAGACACATGACTTGCAGGTAATCAGGAAGTATGAATGATTTTTGCATTAACACTGGGAGGGGGAAGGGGACGTTGTTCAGTCCAAATAAATAAAACCAAAAAAAACAGTCTGCTTCCTGTAATCCTACCTTGCGTAGATGTTGCATGCTGGCTCTGTATCTTTTCAGGGCAAAGCTAGAAAGTGATCGCTGTAGGGTGCAATGTTACTAACTAGCATTAGGCACTACAGGTTTACATTTAGGTTTACATGTCAAAGAAAAACGCGTTGATAAAAAGCGTGTTGTCACACAATTAAAAGTGAAATTAACTATGCAAATAATGCTTCCTCTGTCTTAGGTCATTCATTTTAGCCGTATTTGCAAGTTGGTGAATTTAATTTCCTATCATTAGTTTGCTACGATGTCGTATTCGCATTAGAGCTAGTGTAGCGATCTACGTGTTTCAACTGAATTTATGAATTTCAAAATTGTGAGAGACTACTAGTATGACAAACGTCTATTAGATTGTAGACGGAATGTACGATTCGGGGCTAGCAACGTTCCCTGAACACATGCCATCAGCTTCTGCACATAAGCCGTGTCTCGTGGGTGAATTCCAACCAGATCAAAAGTTACTGATTTTTGCAAAGGGCATTATGGATGGAGTTCATTATGTAAGAGTTACAATGAAGGTTCACGGTTGTATCAGAAGGAAAGACATTGTAAATTACTCAAGATATCCAAAGAAGAAATAATAAACTTTTATTGACAAGAAATAAATTGTAAGAACTTTTAGGTAATTAGTTTAGTTTTCACAACATGTTTTTCACACCTAATTTATTTATTTTATTTTTCATTTACCCTGCAATCACTGTGTTGTAAACAAAAATCAAGAACAAATACAAATATTGTTCCATAATGTCAAGTTTCCAGAGAGATAACTGCTTTTTTCCTATCAGATATTAAATATATTAGTTTATTATGTTTTTTTCTACATTACATATTAAAAAAAATAGAATAGAATAAGTGACAAATTCTGATTTTAAAGATATAATTATAATAAAATACACATACATAATTGTCCAAACGTTTAATGTTCTTCCTTATGTTAGCTTATCAATTTGTAATAATACATGTATTCATATCTATCATGTAAAAATGTAACTGATGTTAAAATGCTAAATATCTGATTGGTTAAAATACTGTTAATTTTAAAGTTTATAGTTCAGAAAAAAAAAGATGTTCATTTTGAATGTGAGAAGTAACAAAATTTTCAGTGTGTAAAAAACACGGCAGTATATGACAACGAAATACTTCCTAATTTGTTAGAAAAGCTGTAAAAAGAAAATACAAATTAATAGAAGCACTGGGTCTAGAAATGTTGTCCATGTCACAAGTACTAGAAAGTAAAATAATAAAACTCAATCGTGTCTGTAATTAAGGGCATGTCTATCAGTTCAACTGAACACATTTTATAAGGCCCAGTTTCTGATTAAACTACAGAAATTCATTGGTCTTAATATTATTGCTATTGTGATTTAAATGTTTAAAGAGAGGTAATGGCGTAAAATGTATTACCGGTAGTTCATTTGACTCAAAATTATCAAAAACGTTAAAAAAAGCACAGAAATTGGACATGCACTCATTTGCATGCATGCCATACTGGTTTCCGTATTAAATTTTTCAGAATCAAGTGTGTATCCATTTGTTGCAGTGCAGTTATATACACCCCTATCCTCGCGCTGCATACTCATAATAATAAGCGTCGATGTAACCATTTCTGGTTTCGCTTCTGTCGATATCCAAACACGCCCATCTCCAGTACCATTTACAAGTTCATGGGTTACACTTTTGTTACTCTCTTTATACCATATCACAGTAGGTACTGGATACCCTTGGGCCTCACATTTTATGTATGCAGTCTCACCTTCTTCCATACTCACTGACTGGTCAAGTTCCACCACTACTGCAGCTATAACATAACAAGATGGAATGAGTGTAAGTACCACATCAGAAGCATTGAGGTATATCAGCTCGAGATGTACAGAGCGAGGGGAGTTTGTAGTTTTCAGATCACTCAAGGAACATATATCATGGTGTATTTGAGCTGAAAGTAGCGCTTTACAGTGCACTAAACTAATATAAATCCAGGGTATATGAATAAGGAATATGTATCATTGATCTAAATCATTGATGAGCCAATTTTAGGGTATATTGAGTTAAGACAGGTAACTGTCCTCAGTCCACTCAAGGAATAAATCTTAGGGTATATTGAGTTAAGACAGGTAACTGTCCTCAGTCCACTCAAGGAATAAATCTTAGGGTATATCGAGTTAAGGCAGATAACTGTCCTCAGTCCACGCAAGGAATCCATCTTAATGTATATCGAGTTAAGACAGCTAACTGTCCTCAGTCCACTCAAGGATTCAATCTTAGGGTATATCGAGTTACAGCAGATAACTCCTCAGTCCACTCAAGGAATAAATTTTAGGGTATATCGAGTTAAGGCAGATAACTGTCCTCAGTCCACTCAAGGAATAAATCTTATGGTATATCGAGTTAAGGCAGATAACTGTCCTCAGTCCACTCAAGGATTCAATCTTAGGGTATATCGAGTTACAGCAGATAACTGTCCTCAGTCCACTCAAGGAATAAATCTTAGGGTATATCGAGTTAAGGCAGATAACTGTCCTCAGTCCACTCAAGGAATAAATCTTAGGGTATATCGAGTTAAGGCTGGTAACTGTCCTCAGTTCACTCAAGGAAATAATTAAAGGGCATACCGAGTTAAGGTAGGTAACAGTTATCTTTCCATTCAAGGACTCAATCCTAGGATATATCAACTTAAGACAGATAACATTCCTCAGTCCACCCGAAGAACAGGTAACATTCCTCAGTCCACCCGAC